ACATTTTTTTTATGAAATTATGATTTTTATTCAAAAAACGAATTTGTCGCAAGCATTTGCATAAGATATATTTAAAAACCATAATTATAAAGCTGACACAATGAGGTATAATTGTAAACGCCGCCCCTGTTCTCCGGCCAATGAAATAATTCATTAAGGTGGAGCTTGTACGAGTGGGAGGAGAATCAGTAATACTGCTTTTTAAACTTTATTCTCACGTTCCGTATGCTTATTTAAAACCAGCTTAATCCTTTAAGAAAGCTTTTTTTTACAATTTATTTATCTCACCAACGGTTCAAACGATTTGAGAATGAGCAAATTGATCAGTAGAATCAAGAGACGGGCGGGCAAATGCTTGATTATAAGACTCTGTAGGAAAAAGCCAAACTTAGCTCCGCCCACCTCCTTTCTCCATTTAACTGACTTATTTTATTCGCTGTAAAATGGAAACCAAATTCTGATTTGACAAGCGACAGAATCTAAAATTTAAAACAAAGTCAAAAGTAGCTCCACCCTCCCCCCTTACTGTGTTTGGAAAACTCCTTTCATTGACCTTCAGGCGGAAGTTGGATTTTATATTGACAAATAGAATCTAGAAGTAAATTTTTTTACTGAAATTTTGATTTTTATTTGAAAAACGAATTTGCAGCCAGCGTTTAACTATTTAATAGGTTTAACAATGATAAAAGTGGTCACTAAAATCAAAGGTGGGCGGGTGGGCGGGCAGATGCTTGATTATAAGACTCTGTAAGAAGTCAATCTTAGCTCCGCCCACCTCCTGAAAAGCGGTACAATCTAAAATTTAATACAAAGCCAAAGAGGCCCCACCCTCCCAGACTTACTCTGTTCTGATAACTCATTTTATTGATCTTGAGACGGAAGCTGGATTTTATATTGACTGAATCTAGAGCTACATTTTTTTTAGAAAATTTTGATTTTTATTCGAAAACTGAATTTGAATTTAAATTTCATAATTATAAAGTAGACACAATGAGGTATAATTGTAAACAACGGCCACATTCTTCAGGCCAATGAAATGATTTATTAAGGTGGAGTTTGTGCGAGTGGGAGGAGAATCAATAATACTACTTCTTAAACATAATTTTCACGACCCGTGTGCTTCTTTGACACCAGCCGAATATCTTATGGATGCTTTATTTACAATTTATTTATTTATTTTTTAACAGGTTAAACAAAGAGAAAAGTGGTCACTGAATCAAGAGGCGGGCGGGTGGGCGGCCAAATGCTTGATTATAAGACTGTAAAAAGAAGCCAACCATAGCCCCGCCCACCTCTTTTCTCCACTTCACTGACTTATTTTATCCATTGTAAAATGAAAACTAAATTCTAATTTGAAAAGTGGTGAGAGCTAAAATTTAAAACAAAATCAAAACTGACCCCACCCTCCCACAATTACTCTGTCTGGAAAATTTCTTTTATTGGCCCTGAGACGGAAGTTGGATTTTATATTGACAAATAATAGACACTAAAACTACATTTTTTTAATAAAATTTTAATTTTTATTAGAAACACGAATTTTCAGCCACTGTTTACATAGATATATTTAAAAATCATAATTATAAAGTAGACACAATGAGGTATGTATAATTGTAAACACCGCCTCTGTTCTCCGGCCAATGAAATAATTCATTAAGGTGGAGCTTGTACGAGTGGGAGGAGAATCAGTAATACTGCTTTTTAAACATAATTCTCACGTCCCGTATGCTTATTTAAAACCAGCTTAATCCTTTAAGAAAGCTTTCTTTTACGATTTATTTATCTATCTTTTCACCAACGGTTCAAACGGTTTAATAATGAGCAAATTGATCAGTAGAATCAAGAGACGGGCGGGCAAATGCTTGATTATAAGACTCTGTAGGAAGAAGCCAAACTTAGCTCCGCCCACCTCCTTTCTCCATTTCACTGACTTATTTTATTCGCTGTAAAATGGGAACCAAATTCTGATTTGACAATCGACAGAATCTAAAATTTAAAACAAAGTCAAAAGTGGCCCCAGACTGTGTTTGGAAAACTCCTTTTATTAGCCTTGAGACGGAAGTTGGATTTTATATTGACAAATAATAGAATCTAGAAGTATATTTTTTTAATGAAATTTTGATTTTTATTTGAAAAACGAATTTGCAGCCAGCGTTTAACTATTTGATAGGTTTAACAATGAAAAAAGTGGCCACTAAAATCAAAGGTGGGCGGGTGGGCGGGCAGATGCTTGATTGTAAGACTCTGTAAGAAGTCAATCTTAGCTCCGCCCACCTCCTGAAAAGCGGTACAATCTAAAATTTAATACAAAGCCAAAAAGGTCCCACCCTCCCAGACTTACTCTGTTCTGATAACTCATTTTATTGATCTTGAGACGGAAGCTGGATTTTATATTGACTGAATCTAGAGCTACATTTTTTTTAGAAAATTTTGATTTTTATTCGAAAACCGAATTTGAATTTAAATTTCATAATTATAAAGGAGACACAATGAGGTATAATCGTAAACAACGGCCACATTCTTCAGGCCAATGAAATGATTTATTAAGGTGGAGCTTGTGCGAGTGGGAGGAGAATCAATAATACTACTTCTTAAACATAATTTTCACGACCCGTGTGCTTCTTTGACACCAGCCGAATATCTTATGGATGCTTTATTTACAATTTATTTATTTATTTTTTAACAGGTTAAACAAAGAGAAAAGTGGTCACTAGAATGAAGAGGCGGGCGGGTGGGCGGGCAAATGCTTGATTATAAGACTATGTAAAAATAAGCCCAACATAGCCCCGCCCACCTCTTTTCTCCACTTCACTGACTTATTTTATCCATTGTAAAATGAAAACTAAATTCTAATTTGAAAAGCGGTTAGATCTAAAATTTAAAACAAAGTCAAAACTGACCCCACCCTCCCACCCTTACTCTGTTTGGAAAATTCCTTTTATTGGCTTTGAGACGGACGTTGGATTTTATATTGACAAATAATAGACACTAGAACTACATTTTTTTAATAAAATTTTAATTTTTATTGAAAACACGAATTTTCAGCCACCTTTTACATAGATATATTTAAAAATTATAATTATAAAGTTGACACAATGAGGTATAATTGTAAACGCCGCCCCTGTTCTCAGGCCAATGAAATAATTCATTAAGGTGGAGCTTGTACGAGTGGGAGGAGAATCAGTAATACTGCTTTTTAAACATAATTCTCACGTTCCGTATGCTTATTTAAAACCAGCTTAATCCTTTAAGAAAGCTTTTTTTTTACAATTTATTTATCTCACCAACGGTTCAAACGATTTGAGAATGAGCAAATTGATCAGTAGAATCAAGAGACGGGCGGGCAAATGCTTGATTAGAAGACTCTGTAGGAAGAAGCCAAACTTAGCTCCGCCCACCTCCTTTCTCCATTTCACTGACTTATTTTATTCGCTGTAAAATGGAAACCAAATTCTGATTTGACAAGCGACAGAATCTAAAATTTAATACAAAGCCAAAGTGGCCCCACCCACCCACCCTTACTCCGTTTTGATAACTCGTTTTATTGGTCCTGAGACGAAAGCTGGATTTTATATTGACTGAACCTAGAGCTACATTTTTTTTAGAAAATTTTGATTTTTATTCAAAAACTGAATTTGCCGCGTTTACATAGACATATTTAAAAATCATAATTATAAAGTAAACACAATGAGGTATAATTGTAAACACCGCCCATATTCTTCAGACCACTGAAATGATTTATTAAGGTGGAGCTTGTGCGAGTGGGAGGAGAATCAGTAATTCTCACGTCTCGTATGCTTATCTAACACGAGCTTAACACTTTATGGATGTTTTGTTTACAATTTATTAATCTATTTTCTCAGCAACAATTTACTTAATAGGTTTATCAAAGGAAAAGTGATCACTAGAATCACGAGGCGGGCGGGTGGGCGGGCAGATGCTTGATTATAAGACTCTGTAAGGAGCCAAACTTAGCTCCGCCCACCTTCTGTCTTCACTTCACCGACTTATTTTATTCACTGTAAAATGGGAACTAAATTCGGATTTGAGAAGCGGTAGAATCTAAAATTTAAAACAAAGACAAGAGTGGAAATAGTTCATAAATTTCGAGAGATACTTGCAAGATAAATAAGTGGATCAAAGGTAAAATAGATAAAAGATTAAGTGATCGGACTTATCTATGTTCAATTCCTTTTTTAAATAAGGTAGTCTGGAGAAGACATGTTGATCAGATTGTTAAGGCAGCACCCGGAGAATATAGTAGTGGAAGTGTGAAATATTTAGTGTGAAACAATTTTAAACAGTTTGAAGTATGAAATAAAAAAAATATATTATAAGTGAACTTCAGTTACAAAAAACACAATGTGTTACTCTTGCAAAAATTACCCATTTAGCAACGAACATGGACATTTTCTTCAGGGATAAATGCCCCTTTTGTTTCAAATGGTTTAATGTACACTCATTATTTTCGTGTCAGTTTGCGAAATAACAGGCAATTTATTTTTGGCTTTTGCGGGCCTTTTTTACAGAGCTTTCTTCCCCGGTTACACGAGTTTTCGACTGTATCATTAAGCACTCTCAGGAACATCCTACTCAGATACAAATATTTATAAAAAGCGCGCTTACAATTTCATTCTTGACTGGAAAAAGCTTTAACAAAAATGACGAACTTCATCCGATATTATAAATATACACAGTTTGTCACATACAAATTCTGTAAATGCCGTTGGTTTTAGCTTGAAAGGTAGGGTGGTTATTAAAAAGAAATAAATATTAAGGAAAAACATTCTCCAAATTATTTCTCGCTTAAAATATTTTAAGGGTTCCTTTACAAGAGTACAAAAGTGGGCATTAAAATGGTTAGAAAACATTTACGTACACATCGTTTTAGGACCAACAATGGCCGGTAATAACTCGTAAAATTTGGTTAAAACATGATAAAAATTTATGAAATATAAACAAGCTATCTATGATTTTATGTGTACTACATCTACTATAATTACCTTTCCATTCATCGTCCGGTTAGACAAGCAGGAACGCGATAAACTCATCGTCACTTTTGGAAAATATCACTATGTTCGAATCACAATTACTTCCTCGTCAGCCGTAGATTGCTCACTTATCAATAAACAACAGCAAGAATTAACAACACCGTACTAGTAAAGACACTTAGAATAGCAAAAACATCCAACTAACTATAACTAATTATTATCATTCATTTGTATTACGAAGTAGAAATGTTCATAGAAGAAAATTCGTAAAGATCTGAACTATTCTACCAATGAAGCACTATTCCTGATATGTCTACAGTAATCAGCTAGGGGTTCAGATAAAAAACTACAACTAGAACAGAAAAAATATCACAAATTTTAGGTACGTATTTTATTAAAAATTCAAGTGTTTATTAGTGTCCGTCTACTCGAGTTCACTGTGGCAGAAGCGGCTTTGTTTAGGAAAATTCGTGCGTCCCAGAAGCGTCCAAAAGAAAACATTTGTCGCCAGATTGTAGTGTAACGGAATTTCCCGAAAACTTTCTCTATTTCATTTCGAACTTGTACATCTCTCTACTCTCGCTGCACATTCCCAATTACAAACTTTCCCCAGATCAACAGATGGTTTTTCGCGTTTTGTGTGCCGCCAAAATGAGCTTATCTGTATGCAAATTCGCCCTTTACTAGGTGAAATTAGGCCGCGTCGAAGAATGCCGCTTTTAATTAGAATTTGAATTTTTAAAATGTGACAAGTTCGCACTGTTGTTGCTATCACTAGTGTACTTTTGCTCCGAACGTTCAGATTTTCGTAAGACCGCGTCGACTGATCCGCGCTGAGGTTCTGACCAGGTCGTCTCTTATCAACTTAGCGAGTTTTGATTATTTGGTGTCTTTTTGAATACTGAATGATTGTTGATGGAAGAACGTGGAGTTGTAACCGCTGCTCACGGCGGCTCCGGGAAGACTAACTGCAGTGGCACTCGAGTCCGGGACTCCGGAGTCCTATTGATCACGAGAATTCGCGCCAAGAATTCGCGCAAGCTCATCATCCTGCCGGAGCAGGACCAGCACTTACCTAACACAAGGCTCCTCTAATTACCACTTGTGGGCGTCCGACGCACCCTCCTATATATAAGTTAGACACGTGACGCAACCCATGAATGATTCAATGTGGGTGTTTAATTAAATCGCAGCCGGAATAGTTGGACGCTTTTTCATTAACACTGTCCACTCGATTACGAACTGTCTAGTAGTGTAACGAGAGAGTTTTCTCTACAACTGGGACATCGAACCATCTGTCACCTTGACATGGTACATTTCCTGGATTTTTTTCGCTCGTAGATGATTTTAAACCAGTTTCGGCTACCACAAGGTGGCGCTTGAGATATGAGGATTTATAGCGGCTCTAGACAAATTTTAGAGACAACAGAGTTAATTTCAGAGCGACGACAAGCTCCTCGTTTCCGTCGTTTTGGGGTAAAATCCACATAAAATTATGCCTGGCTTCGAATAATCGCCGCAAATCCATTAGTTTTATTACTAACATCTGACCTATTTTACCGGTGGATCATAACCGTCTTTTAAAGTTTTAAGGTCAATGCAGCTAAGGTTAAGGTTAGTTTTTAGTTGGTAAGATTAAATAGATCGATAATAGAACCCTCATTTTCGACACGATTTTCAAGACAAAATAATTGTATCTTGAACAGACAGGCTTTATGATATCTAACCAGGAAACTAACAAAATTTTTTGGAAGTTGTCCTATTATCCCCCAAATTTGTTTCTGTTGCTTTGGGAGCTTTCCTCTCTAGTGGAGTGATCCTATAAGTTGACCCTTTACGCATAAGGCATGGAAGGCATCAAAGCGTCAACTATGCCTTCAAAGAAGCCACGCTTGAATTGAGTGTCGACTCTACTGCACTGATATAAAAGTGGATCTGTAACCCTATTTTTGAATAAAGCAGTGCACGCACAAAATCATTCGAACATTAATAAATGTGATTTCATTTTATGTGTTTATTGCTCACAGAGGTTTAATAAATGTTAAATTCTCATTTCGAAACAGTCCGAAAACGTTAATCGCTTTTATACAAGTAATAATATCACTGAAATTTGACAAAAATAATGTTTATTACAAGACCACATTTATGTCTCAAAATAGAACGAAATCAAATGGTTCTGGCTCTACTATAAGGTAAAATGTCAAGATTATGGGATATATAAATACTTTGGGCCTTATATAAGAAATTAGATAGAATATAGAAGCCGCGACGGGGGCACCGATGAACGGGCGACCTCGTGACAACCGCACCCCGCCGCCGAGAGTAAGAATGGACTCGAAAGAACTATCACTTGTGCAGGAATCATCCTGAAATTGTGAGAATAGTTCCTATGTTCCTTTTACGCCATTTTTTATTTTCTAGGACGTTCCGTACCGTACCGAAAGTATCCTGGTGAGCACTGAACCGTTCCTACCCCAACAGCACACAGCGAGGAGCCGCCGCCAGAAAGGCTACAGTACGACCTTGAGCAGGCTTTTACTTGCTGAAAGATCTTTTTAGTTTGTTACTTTTTCTTATTTAGTTTTGTAGTTCGTGGCTTGGCAAGAAAGGTTTTTCTCAGTTTTCAGTTCGCCAATTTTGTCAGATTTTTTAGTTTTTCGATTTTTCAACTTTTCAAATCAAAACAATAGAAAAATTGCAAAATTGTAAGATTGAAAAATTAAATATCGAACGAAAAATCTCAAAATTGGAAATAAAGAACTTGAAAAATTAAAGAAACGAAAATTCAAAAATTGAAAGATTAAAAATTGAGAAACCTAAATATTGGAAAAGTTACAAAATCAAAAATACCAAATATATATTTTATAATCTAACATTTGAAAATTAAAGAAATCGGAAAAAAGGATAAATGTAAATCCAAAACTTGCAAATAGTAAAAAATTTTAAGGTTGGAAAATCGAGGAATTGAAAAATCAAAGATTGAAAATTTGAAAAACTGAATAAACGAGAAATTATAAAACCGAAAAAAACATTGGAAAAATAAAGGACCTGAAAAAAATTAAAAATTGTAAAATCGAGAAAATAAAAATTAGAAAAATTGAGAAAATAAAAAATTTAAATTAAGAACTTGAAAAACTGAGGACGCAAAAAATTGAAAAATCGAAAAATTAAAAATTGCGAAACTGAAAAATCGAAAAATGAAAAATTGTAATATCGAAAAATTGCAAAGTTGAAAGATTGCAACTCTCTTTCTCTCTCAAGTCAATCAAATTGATCAAATTAGGAACAAGTCACCCCATTTTCTCGCAACTTCTTTATTTAATAATGATAAAATAATGTTGCTAAATTTTAGATGTATTTTAGGTATGCTACTATAAACAGATGTAAAATGGTAACAAAAATTTGTCTAATCATCCCCACCAAATATTTGATGACGTTACCTCAAACTTTTACATAATAAATGCTAATTAAATTTTAAAATAACATACTCCTATAGTTATGGTTTACAAAGCCGTCTTGAATTTGTATCGCAAGCACCCTCAAAAAATTCCAAATTACCTTATATAACATTTTCAAACGCGAAGGTCGATCCCCTGAGGGTGCACTTTTTTTCTTACACTGTTACTTATATTTTTTCATTTATAGGAGTTATAAAAAAATAATTAAATTTTATCACCTTTCAAAGAAGCTGGATTTGATGGACGGTACTTCAGGAACTCCAAAAATTAAAAAACCTAAGATTTAGCAAATTTACAACCAATTAAAAATACTGTTCCATTCTTCAATTTGTCGATTTTGCGATCTTTCCATTTTTCAGTTTTCTTCGTCTTTTGACCCTTTCAATGTTTCATAATACCTTTTTTAGATTTTTCAGAATCTCGATTTTTTTTAGTCTTCATCTTTTCAATTTTTGGAACTTAGTTTTGATTTTTCATGATTTCATTATTCAATTCGATTTTTTGCCTTTTGAATTTCCAAATATTTCGGTTTTCAATTGTCCTTTCTTCTTTCCGGTTTTCCATTTATCAATTTTGTCGATTTTACAATCATTCCATTTTCCACTTTTTTTTGTCTTCAGACTTTTTTAGTGTTTCATTTCGCCTTTTTTGGATTTTCCATTTTTTGAATTTATCAATTTTTCATCTTTTGAATTTCCGATTTTTTGTTTCTTCAATTTATTGATTTTTCGTCTTTTGTTTTTATCAATTTTTCATTTCTTTCTTTTCGCTTTTAAAATTCTCGATTTTTAATTAATTTTGGCTTTTTCAATATACCATTCACTTTTTTTCGATTTTTTATTTATTGAATTTATCCACTTTACATCTTTTAAATTTTCGAATCTTTGTTTCTTCAATTTTTTAATTTTTTGCCTTTTGAATTTTTCAATTTTTTATTTCTTTGTTTTTCGCTTTCTCAAATTTTCGATATTTTAAATGTTTGGATTTTTCTTCTTTTGAGTTTTTTGAATTCTCATTTCTTCAATTTTTCGTCTTTCAAATTTTTCAATTTTTCATTTTTTGTCTTTTCGACTTTTCAGATTCTCGATTTTTTATTTTACGATTTTTCATCTTTTGAATTTTTCGAATTTATGTTTCTCGAATTTTTCGTCTTTTGAATTTTTCATTTCTTTAATTTTTCGATTCTTCATGTTTTCATTATTCAATTTTTCGATTTTCGTCATTTGAATTTTCAAATTTTTTGGTTTTACAATTTCCTGTTTCTTCTTTTGGATTTTCTACTCTTCAATTTTATCGATTTTACAATCTTTCTATTTTTCAGTTTCTTTCGTATTTCGAATTTTTCATTTCCTCTTTATTCGATTTTTCAGAATCTAGATTTTTTATTTTACGATTTTTCATCTTTTGTAATTTTCGTCTTTTGAATTTTCCATTTCTTCAATTTTTCGATTCATGTTTTCATTATTCAATTTTTCGTTTCTTCAATTTTTCGATTTTGCGTCTTTTGAATTTTCAAATTTTTCGGTTTTTCAATTTTCCATTTCTTCGTTTGAGTTTCCATTCTTCAATTTGTCGATTTTGCAATCTTTCCATTTTTCGGTTTTTTCGTCTTTTGACCCTTTCAATGTTTCATAATGCCTTTTTTTAGATTTTTCAGAATCTCGATTTTTTTTATTCTTCATCTTTTCAATTTTTGGAACTTACGTTTCGATTCTTCATGATTTCATTATTCAATTTTTCGATTTTTTGCCTTTTGAATTTCCAAATATTTCGGTTTTCAATTGTCCATTTCTTCTTTCCGGTTTTCCATTTATCAATTTTGTCGATTTTACAATCTTTCCATTTTCCACTTTTTTTTTGTCTGCAGACTTTTTCAGTGTTTCATTTCGCCCTTTTTGGATTTTCCATTTTTTGAATTTATCAATTTTTCATCTTTTGAATTTTCGATTTTTTGTGTCTTCAATTTATTGATTTTTCGTCTTTTGTTTTGTCAATTTTTCATTTCTTTCTTTTTCGCTTTTTAAATTCTCGATTTCTAAATGTTTGGATTTTTCTTCTTCGGAGCTTTTTGAATTTCCGTTTCTTCAATTTTTCTTTCGTCTTTCGAATTTTTTATTTCTTCTTTTTCGATTTATCAGAACCTAGATGTTTTATTTTACGATTTATCATCTTTTGAATTTTTGGAATTTACGTTTCTTGAAAATATGCGTCTTTTGAATTTTCCATTTCTTCAATTTTTCGATTCTTCATGTTTTCATTTTTCAATTTTTCGCTTCTTCAATTTTTCGATTTTGCATCTTTTGAATTTTCAATTTCTTCGGTTTTTCAATTTTCCATTTCTTCTTTTGAATTTTCCTTTCTTCAATTTTGTCGATTTTACAATATTTCCATTTTCCACTTTTTTTTGTCTTCAAAATTTTTCAGTGTTTCATTTCGCCTTTTTTCGATTTTTTATTTCTTCAATTTATTGATTTTTCGTCTTTTGT